GGCTGACGGCACCCTGAGGAGGCCCTCTCTGTGGGAGCGTATCGGCCGGTGGGAGGCAATCTGTGGCAGAAGGCGGTCTCGGAGGTAACCAGGTCCAATGCCATGGTGCGCTTTGAAGATGATAATCAACACCTTGAAGCGCACCCGGAAGGCCACAGGCAGCCAGTGCAGCTCGCGCAGCAGCGGCGTTACATGGGATCACCGCCCGCGCGGCCGCATTCTGGACCAACTGGAGCCTCAGAGTGCTCCTCAAGGGGAGCCCCATGTAGAGAGCATTACAGTAGTCCAGGCGGGAGGTGACAAGAGCATGAGTGACTGTGCGCAAGGCATCCCGGTCTAGAAAAGGCCGCAACTGGTGCACCAGGCGTACCCGGTAAAACGCCCCCCTGGCCACAGCCGCCAACTGGTCGTCCAGTGTCAGCCGTGGAAAGCTTTGGAAAGCTTCCATCATTTTCTTGGCATTACTTGGAATGAATCCATATTCTCGTTACAGCCCTTCAAATATTGGAATATTGCTATCACGTCTAATTTCAGACTTCTCTTGTTCGGGTAAACACATATAGTTCTGCAATAGTGGTGAATATCTGTAGCTCAAGTGTAGGATGACGGTGAAGGTTTGTTCTCTGAGCTTATGGGTGTTTCACTACCAGGCTAGGTAACATCTTCAGTAGAATTTAACGGATGTCATTGTCAGTGTTCTTCTGTTTATAAGGGCTTCAGGTGTGGGTGTGTCAAGTGAGGGTCTCGTGATGGGTGAGGTGTGAGTCATCAATGAGAGTCTTGTGACATCAGGTCAGAGTCACTGAGAGGTAAACTGCTGGTGGGGGGGAGAGGGCTTGCGTGATTTAAGGATCGATGCTGTCTCTGGTTGGCTGTGTGGTTGATTTGGATTCTGAGGAGTTCATAGGCTGGTTGTAGATCAATGTGTCTGTTGATAGAATTGCTTGTGGAATGCCAGGCTTCATATAGTTCTTTTTACCATTTTTCATAGGATTTAACCTTCAATCTCAAACTATCTTTAGATAGATTTTTTACTCCAAAAGCATTTTATTAAAATAAATTTGATAAAAAAAATCCGATTTAAATAAAAAAAAATCCGATTTTTTTTTTTTAAATCATCATTAGCCACCCTGATCCTAACCAAACAGAAGTTGCAGTCTTAACTGAGTGCATACAGCAGGGGTGTCAAACTGCCGGCCTGTGGGCTGGACGCATCATCCGGAAGCTGCGCCCACCCCATTGCTGGCAATGGCAAAACTGTCCTGCTACATTGTGCAACATCACATGACGTCGCCAGTTTGACATGTCTGGCATACAGTGAGGGAAAAAATTATTTGATCCCCTGCTGATTTTGTACGTTTGCCCATTATTTATTTTAACAGTGAGAGACAGAATAACAACAAAATCCAGAAAAACACATTTCAAATAAGTTAGGATGGTGCCGATCTAAGATGTTTTTTGTACCCCTCCCCCTTCATCTGGACTTCTGCAATGTTTATCTGTTTGTTACTTTGGAAATAAATCTTCTGTCAAGACATTTTCTTTTATTTTCTATAGTGTACGACTGAATGAAGTTGAACAGATTCATGCTTAATCCTAATAAAATGAAACTGACTTTGTTACAAAGTTGTTCTGTATTCATGATTGTTCCATTTACAGCTCTCAAAGATGCGGTACTGCTGGCAAAGAGCAGATATGCAATCTGGGGGTTCTCCTTGACATATGGTTCCTGCTAGAAGAGCAGGTGGGGGCTGTGATTAGTAGAGCCTGGATATCTGACAACATTCACCTGATGAGTGATATTTTGATATCATAACAGAAATTGGAATCAGCTGTTTTTAGTTTTGAAAAAATATTTGATATTTTTCAAATTACTTTTATGAAGAATGGCCTAAAAAGTTATGGTTTTCCACATTTTTTTCATTAGATTACAATTTTATATCTTCATCAAGCAGTTAAGTTATTTTGAATTGATTCATCTCTTAACCTATCAAATTAAATAAGTGCTTCCCAACCTCAGCATTTTTAAGATGCATGGACTTCAACTCCCAAATTCTCCTGTCAACAATTCTCCAGCCTGGTGACTGGGGAATTCTGGGAGTTAAAAGTCCACACATCTTAAGTTGCTAAAAATGAGAAACACTAAAAAATCATACCATTGTACCTGATAAGGATAACTCTTGTCTCCTTTTTTTTCCAGTGGTGTTCTTGAACCATTGGCCTCTTCGAATAAACAGAATTAAGATATGTAGTGGCACTCGGCATGCTATATAATTTTTTGTTATATGCTTTAAATAATTTAATAATGATTTAAAAGGAAATTATTTCATCAGAAAATATTATATTTACTAGACCGCTTAGAAGAATGTTTAAAATGGAGGAAAATGCAGTCTTGTTAATTTCAACTTATGTCAGCAAACTTTTGGGGAAGAAACATTATTAAAGATCTTAATGAGAGATGGAGCTGTATTTCTGAAAAACAGATTTTGTCATTTCAGAAAGAACTTTGGCTATATTGAGCCTGGGACATGGCAAAGATGATAATTTTATGAAACTGTTAATAAGGATTTTAAGGAATACATCTATAGGTCTGTTATCTATTTTGAAAAGCCTGTGTTCTAAAATTGAGAAGATGAAACAATATATTTTTATGTCTAGATTATTAATTTAAGGACAAAATTAATTTTGCATTATTACCATTATGTTTTGCCCCTCTTTTTTAGATATTCTTTTGTTACAGCATAATCACTCTTTCCCCCATCTCTGTTTTTTTTATGTTTATGTTGTACCTTTTTGTTATTTTACTATTTATGTGTGTTTTCTTTTCTTTTAAATAGAGCCTTTGGCCAGTTCTGGTTGGACTATCAGCTGTGACTTTTCCAGATGAAAAGAAATGAAGTTAATGACTCTAACTCTTGTTGTCCCAAAGCTAGACAGAGACAATTTGGTCTACGTGAAACTACTCTTGAAAATGACCTATAATCTGCAGGTGATTTGATTCAAAATCTATTAACTATAAACTCCTATATCACTGTATTCCTTATAAGTTTCAAATGATGTGATCTGAATGAAACATGCTTACTCAATGGGAGGGGTATTATGAGTACCCCTCTCCTGAGAGATTAAGGGGACAGATGTCTATAAAATGGCCTTCCCAGCAGCAGCATCCTCATTGTAGAACACAATACTCTGTCTTCTGAGGTCAGAATGCCTCTTTCCCCTTTTGACATTTAGGAAAGAGTGTGAAAAGAATTCATTTTTGTAGGGCAGGCATGTCAAACTGCCCGCCCACAGGCTGGATGCGTCACACCGAAACTGTGCCCACCCCACTGCCGGCAATGGGGAAAAAGTCGCAATACGTCACACGACATCACGAGTTTGACATGCCTGTTGTAGGGCCTTTTAAATGAAAGATGCCCAGTAGCTGACAAGAGTATAGGAAGATAAGGATTTGTTTTTTGATGTTTGCACGCTTGAGTAGTAGCATACAAATTATAAGAGTATCGTTTATACACATCATACATAGAAACTATTGTGACATAGTAATATACTTATGAAAAACAGTATTTGCAAGTCATTTAAGGATATAGAAAATATTATAGATATAAAAATTAGTACAGCTGTAAACTCCAGAAATTAAGTTTAGGAACCTGCTGTAAGAAGCGTGCCTGCAGCTCTATAGAGATTCCAGCTGAATTTTTTTCCCCAAACAGGCTATCCAAAAACTGCTTTAGGTGTAACTTAGGGAGATGGCATATCTGTAAAAATAGTTTGAACTTATCTTTTAAAATGAAAATAGAACAAACCAAATAGAAATATGTAGCAAGGTGTTTAATTATCCTTAATCACACATAAATGCATATGACTTCAGCTCATCATAACAAAAGCAAATTTGGGAATAATTCCTCTGCTTTTTAAGCCTGGAAATAAAGATTTCAATTCTGCTATTTTCAATGTGAAGTTTACTAAATATACTTTTGACTGGGACATCAGTAGCATTTCAGATGTTTTAAAGGTAGTAATTTCTGTTTAACTGCTTCCATATCTCACAAGAAATTACTTTTAGTGAGCTGTCAGAAAAAGGTTCAGAAGACCCACGACACATTAAAAAGTAAAGAATTTAATTCTCTTCAAAACAGGGCAATCCCATTGTTTTGGCTTAGATTTCCCAAGCAAGTTTTGTCAGAAGGTGCAATAAGTGGACAACTAAACACATAAAATATACTCAGCCCATATTATTTTTATGCTTCGTTTGGTATTTCAATATACATACAGACTTTTAAATATGCTGTATTTCTCTGTGCTGTAGTATCATTTATACTGCCCATTTAAAAAATAGATTAATCAGCTATCGGATCACAAGAGCAAAAGTGCTTCTATTCTTTTTTTTAAAAAAACGTTGATATTCTTTGAGATGTCAGGCTACTAGATATACAAACAGCAGCCCATTCTTTCGGATAAATAAACCCCAAAAAACAGATACGAGATTTTCACCGGGTAAGCAAAAGGCTGAAGCTGTCCTTCCTCTTAACCGAAAGAGCCTGTGGGTTAGGAAATTGTATCGTTACTAAGAAGCTTATTACTCTTTTTCGCCACGTCGCTCGCGACCGATCGAGAAAACTAGCAGAAAACACGGTGGAGAGGAATAACGTCACCCAACTCTCCCTATCCCTGCCCTGCCCTGCCCAGAATACACCATTCAGGCCCTCCTTGCGATTCGGAGGCAGAAAACGGGCCCTTCCCCGCTCCAAGGTTTTAAGGCCCCTCTCCGGCACCGACAGCGAAGGCCGCCCTCAACCCGGCTCACCTCTCCCTGAAGAAACGATACAGCCCCCCCCCCCGTGGGGCGTGGTTGACCAAGTGCAGACCAGGCTCGGCTACGCCATGGCGACCACCTCAGCCGCCCAACCTGACCCGGATAGTCCTTCCCCCGAGCTTCCGCCGCCCGCCTCGGTTGTTGTCACTGCGAGAGAAAAACAGGAGATGGGCTCAAGGCCGGAAGTTGTGCCGGAGGAAGCCCCGCCCACCGCTTACGCCGCCAACGGTAGTTTCCAGCGTCCGTGGAGTTTGATTGCCCGTTCGAGGGGGGTCGGGTTTGGAGTGAGGCGGTCGAGGAGGTGCTCCTGGCTGTTATGGACGCCTTCCGTCCCCAGGCGACGGTTCTTCAGGAGTGCTCGGCTGGAAGACGACGCTGGAACTTCCCTTTCTGTTTGGGGCTCTTCTCTCATCACGAAGGCCGACTTCACTCGTTGCACTAGACTAGGGCATAGTTTTAGCTTGCTTTGTGTTGGCTTAATACAGTGTTTCTCAACCTTGACAATTTTAAGGCGTGTGGACTTCAACTCCCAGAATTCCACAGCCAGCAATGCTGGCTGTGGAATTCTGGGAGTTGAAGTCCACACGCCTTAAAATTGTCAAGGTTGAGAAACACTGGCTTAATATATTGCATGAGCTCTTGCCACTTGCGCAGGTAATCCTCGTCTTACAACAGTTCATTTAGTGACCGTTCAAAGTTAACAACGGCACTGAAAAGTGCTGGGACCATTTTCACAGTTTATGGCCATTGCAGCATCCCCATGGTCACATGATCAAAATTCAGAGGCTTGGCAACTGGTTCACATTTATGACCTTTGCAGTGTCCCAGGGTCCTATGATCACTTTTTGCAACCTTCTGACAAAGTCAATGGGGAAGCCATAGTCACTTAACCGGGTTACTAACTTAACTGCAGTGATTCACTTAATAACTGTGGCAAGAAAGGTAAAATGAAGTGAAACTCACTTAACAACTGTGTTGCTTAGCAACATAAATTTTGGGCTCAATTGCCATCCTAAGTTGAGGACTACCTGTACTTTAATAAATAGCAATATATGAATTGTGGGTATCCTAAGGCAAAGGTCTCCAACCTTTGCGGGCTCGCAGACCGGAGGGAAGGAGAGCAGCTTCAAAATTGGTGTGTGCGTGGGGCCATGCACACTGGCGCAGCTCTAGCGGCCCCATTCACGCATGTGGCTGGCCCTGTGTACATGCATGAACAGCTGTGCACCCCCTGCGGCGGCTAGCATCCCTATTCGCACATGCGCAAACGGGCCATACAACCCACCCAAGCTAGCATGCGCAAATGGGCCATGGACACTCGCCCCGCACTAGCATCCCCATTTTCACCCGTGTGTATCCTAGGCCACAGCCCATAGGTTGGGGACCCCTGTCCTAAGGAACAGGGAGAGCAAATTATATATGCTTAATTACATCATCACACAAATGATGTGTTTACATACTGTATACATCATGATGAAATTACATAAATGCCATCATAATGAAATTACATAAATGCATACTTTGCAGTTATTATTACTTGCATTGGCCACTGCCACTTGGTGCAGAAATTGCTGATACAAATTCATTTATATAGTCTCAGATTCTAAAGATCAACATGGGAACTGAGGTACAATAGAATTATGAGAATGTACAGGTTTTATGGATCATAGATGTAAATAAGTCCAAGATGCATAAACATCTTGGCATTCAAAAGTCTTGACGGTTGCTTCTCAATGTAGCATTTCGTCTTAGTATTTCTGAGGAGTCTTTATTTTACATGTACAAAGAATCTTAACAAAGATTCCCTTATAACTCTCCCTCCTAGTGGTGACAAGGATACCATAGTTGAATTACTGAATGCTGTCAAGGGTTCTAAAAAGGAGTGGCAAATCTGTAATCAGGTTCTGAGGAAGGTAATGCTCCAGAGAAATTATTCCTGTTTCTCATGTGCCTACCTGAATCCAGACTGGAAGGGATCAGATGAGCCATTTCATTTTAGATCTAATTAATTCCCTACCATCTGTAGAATTTGCTCCAAAAGACAAATTTGAAGACAGGAAGTCATCCAATACAGCTGGACAGAAACAGCCTCTTCAAAAGACAGCACATTACCATTTTTTTGAGGCTAGTGGGATTTCACCCTCCCTAGGAAAAACATTTATCTCCTGACTCCAGCTATATGCATCCACAACCACCCAAAGGAGCCAGGTTGTATATAGGTCTATTTATTCCTATTATGTTAAACTTCATCATAGAATGAAATTGATAGTAAAATATTGTTGGAACATCTGGCACTGAAAATTTTGTCAGTCCCCATTACAACTACTTTTCTGTATTCAGATTTGAACTCACTTGGTAAGGGATTTGGAGAAATTATTACAAATTCATAGAACAGCAATGAGGGTTAGGACTGTAATGAAGACTACAAATTAAATTCTACAAACAGACATTAATGGAGCTAGGTTTTTATAATCTTGAGAAAGCTGAAGCACTACTGTATGTTAGCACTTTTCTATTAAACTCCATAGTAGAGGATATGGATTTAAATTACAAGAAGACAAGATTTCAACTGAATGTTAGGAAAACCTTCCCACAAGTAAAATCATGGTGGGCTCCCCTTTTTGGGAAAGTTGAGAGTTACCTTGGATGTTTTCTAATCTAACTTGTACTCAGGCCAGGAGTCCTCTTATCTTCTCACACAAATGGCTGTCCAACCTTTGCCTTTGTTAACATGAAGGCTAGACAGTCTAAGAGAATTTAATTTAAATCCCTACATTAAGAATGGGTCTAAACTCAATAACTTGAATGGCCCCTTCCAATTTTAATTCCTTGGAATATTTTTCTATTAAGAGATTTGACACTGCAGTGTGTTACCTTTGTCTTCAGTTTAGTAGTGGTTGCCTTTCCACTAATAAAGAGGACCTGTGGATAAAATTACCCATTTATTAAATTGACCAAGATTAGATATTTTTAAAAATGAACTAGCTTTTGAGTTATACATAATTATCTTTCTAGAATCCAAAATTAAGGTTTCATATATACATTAAAGTTTCATACATACTATACATTTAAAACTTTGTAAGTCATCTCGGCCACAAAATATTCTGATATATTAACTGACTTCCTTTAAGGAGCTATTCTAGTTATTTTCTTTAGAATTCATATATTTACCATGAATTCAGTGATCAGTAATAACCAATATATACACCTATATGTTTGTATACTCATGTACACAAATAAGTACAGTTATATATAGACAGTTCATCAATATTAGTTATTCTATGACACAACACCACATGAAGACATCTTGCCAATCTATATAATACAACACTTATATGGAAGTAATCTATTTAAATATCAAATTTTTCTTCACATATGCTATGCCCATTTTCTTCATAGTCTTCTCTGGTTACTACCATATCTTCGAAATCATCATTTTCAGAAATCAACTTTCCACCTTCCCAGGAATAAGTAATAGGACTGAAAATAAATAAAATAGCCTTTTAGAAAGTGAACTATATAAAAATTATGAATTAATATTTACATTAGCCACACTAGGAAACATTACTTGTATAATGCATGAGAAATTAATGTACTGAATACCAAGTCGATTATGATTAATTTAGTTGTATTTCACAGAGAAAATGAACCAAATGATTGCAAGTTATACCTTACCATGTGAGCAGGTAAAGCCAGAAAATCAGAGCAAGCAGATAAAATTGTGTACCTTGATAGAATATTTATTAAATCGATGGGGGAAGTTTTAAATTATGTATTTGCTTAGAAATGTCATGGACAATACAAGGTTTGTTGTGATGGCTGAATCTTT